AAAAAAAAAAAAAAAAACCTCACTGAGTGATACTGTTTTATTATGAGTTACTGCTTTGAAATAGGAAACAATATAGTCTCCATCACTATCTATAACCATTTATGGATAGAATACAGAGTTGTAAATATAGCTATTTTATAATTACATTTTGTTCTTTGAACAAAATTGAAGAGCATTGTCCTATTGACATTTTCTTGGTACATTTATGATCAAATAGAATATAGATCTAGCAAGAAGAATTTATTCTAGTGCAAGAATTTAAGGGAAAATGTGAGGGCATTTACTTCTCAAAATGCTTTTTGCTTGGTATACCAGTGTAAACCAAGTCTGTGACCTCATTTCTAACCTGGGTACGTTTGTTTTCCAGTACAGTGCAATCTAGCTATAATTGTTCAAGCGATGACTTCTTAGGTATTTTTTTTAAAATTAGCATTGAGAAAGTTTTCCCCTTTGTTTGAATTTACTTTGTGTCATGTAATGATTTTCACAAGCTGAGGGCGATTTTTGGCTTGTGTTTGATACTCATGACATGTTGAATGTCAAGGCTATGGAAATGCCATTTTGGTGATGGGGAGATGCAAATTCAATTAATGGAACTATGTAGCTGGAACAGGGCCTCACACTTGTTTTAAATGGGGCTCATTTGCATCTACACCTCACATCTCTCTTGAGTGTAGCTCTATTTCTGCTCTTGATACACATGTGCCTGAAGTTTAGGCACATGTGGCCAGCTAAATCCTTTAGTGAAGCCTTTTGACTGAACACAAATTTTACAGAACAAATCCATTCATTACAAAGAGTGCAGTAATGAAAAATGAAGCTTTTCATGCTGCTTTTGGTGCTTAAAAAAGAAGAATCTTGAAACCAGAAGACTACAGGTTCTCTATCCCTGGCCTAAATAAAAGTACCCTCTTCACAACTTCATTTGAAAGAGTAAAGATTCTCCAGATATCATTTTGTTTAGAACTGACTTCAAGACACCGGTATCTCAGACTGTGGAGTCTGCATCCCACATAGATACTGAGGCTGTAAGAATAGGATACAAAATGGATGGACGAATGGCTTTTCCCTTAGATTTTGTTCCCAGAAGATTCTTTTGTTGGTGATGTGAGCTGCCGGGGCTAATCCTTGGGTTTTTAAAACAGAAGTTTTCCATACAAGGACAGAGCTATGTAGAACTATTCTAGTCCACTAAAAGCTATAAATTCACAGAATCTTTGCATTAAAATACTTCTGAGTATACAAGCCACCTCTGGTGAACTTTTTATTTTTTTTTCTTGAGACAGAGTCTCACCATATTGCCCTCGGTAGAGTGCTGTGGCATCACAGCTCACAGCAACCTCAAACTCTTGGGCTTAAGAGATTCTCCTGCCTCAGCCTCCCAGGTAGCTGGGACTACAGGCGTCCCCCACAACGTCTGGCTATTTTTTGGTTGTAGTTGTCATTGTTTTTTGGCAGGCCCAGGCTGGATTCAAACCTGCCAAGCTCTGATGTATGTGGCTGGCGCCCTAGCCACTGAGCACAGTTGCCGAGCCTGGTGAACTTTCTCTTGACAGCTATTTTAGTGGTTCACTCTGGATGCTGAATAAACCTGTCTGTTTTAGATTTAGTGCCTGGCCGTGTGATTTAACCTGCCTAAGAATGAGCATGGGTGGCCTCGGACTAGCCTCAACTGTACTGCAAATAGAATAGCCATCATTCCAATGAGACATTTAATGCTCACCAGAAATAGGATGCCCAGGCCAGGTTTCACTAGATGAGAGTCTTATCTCTTTTTTTCAGATATCCACCTCAGCAGATTCTATATTACCTTGTTCTTATCAACTATTAGGCTGTATTAACACTGCAGAAAGTAAAGTAGAGCTTTAGGTAATGATCTGGTAAATTTGATCAGTGAAAAGAAGCTACAATCTTCCTTTTAGCCACCGCTCCCTCCTCTCACCTACCCCTGCATTTCTGGATGTGATTGTCATTTACTCAAATCACTAAGTTAATAGCCAGACGACCACTTCAATTAATACAGGGTATAAACCACTTGCCACCATTATCAGCTTGCATGTTTAGAAAAGCTACCTGAATAAAAATGCAAAGAAGTATTAAAATAGTTTCTTGGGCCATTTAGCATTCAGTGGACCAGTACACACAAAAATTAAGTGTAACCAGTTCCCTCTTGGATGAGTTGTAATTTAAGATCTATGGGGGTTTTAATGTTTCTAAAGGCAATGTCAATTCTCATAAATACCATTGCAAGCCTTTGTTTAACCTCTTTAAAATGACTCACACTGGTGTTTAGAAAACAGAAAGATATGTTTAGGATAGTGTTTGATGAGAGAGAAAAAGAAGTAGACCACTCGCCTCAGTTGGAAAATAATGCGGTCTTTTATGATTAGACATCAATCTTTTAGATAACCAAATAGTTTTAATCCATCCTGAAAATCTTGCATGGATAGCCTATTTCATATCTCCTCCCAGTCCTGCAGCTATACCTAATGGTTTAACTTTATAGTCTAAGTATATATTCTGACAATAATAATTCCAGTGGCTGTGTATTCAGCTTCCATGTACCTGGGATGCATTCTAGGGTCCAAAGTTACTATTGTAAAATAAATAAAAAACCCTAAAGTTGTTTACCATATAGTTGGGAAGACACACACACCAGAGCTAACTGTCATAGTATGATCATAATCAGAAAAAAAATAGAGAATGTGGAATAATGGAAAGAGTCTAGTACTGTGTAATTTTAGTCAAGCCAACAGTGGTGGAAATCAACATCAATAACTCACCTTATAGTTTATAGAACACATTTATTATCGAACTTTGTGTTTTAATCTTTATGGTCTTCAGAAATTATTATTTAAGGTTAACATTTAAAGTTCAGAGTGATGAAGAGATTTTCCCAAGGGCACAAAACTAGTAGGTGGTGCAGCCAAGATGGACTCCAAGTATTCCATTAAATTGAACTATATGATTTTTGATGTACAAAACAGGTGATTTCACACATTGAAATATAGTTTGGAGCTCTTTCTACTCTATAGCAGCTGTCTCACTAAGAAATAGAAAAAAGTGTTAGTTTTCTTTTCTCTATTCTCATATGGCCATTCAACACTCCTGACACAAGATATGTAACAAATTTTTGCTGCACACCAAGCAGTCAGTTCTCCAGTGGAACCAGCTGAGTGTCCTCTAATTCAATTCAGTTTTGACACTACCTACCTGTAGATAGTGTTAAATCCCACAGGTTTAGAGTTCAGTTCCACAAGACTGCTTCTGACTGCCAGGTTATAAGTCAGAGTTCCCATGACTCTTTTTCTGTGGATTTGATTAACTTGTTAGAAAAGCTCAGAGTACTCAGAGAAACACTAACATTTGCTGGTTTATTATAAAAGAATATGACAAAGGATATAGATAAACAGCTAGATGGAAAACACATATAGAGGATGAGGTATATCAAAAGGGGCATGGAGCTTCCATGTCCTCTCTAAGCATGCCACCCATTGGGAACCTCCACAGGGTCAGCTATCTGGAAGTTCTTAATATTTTTTGGTTTGTATGGAAACTTCATTACATAGGTATGATTGGTTAAATCATTGGCCATTGGTTATCAGTTTAACCTTCACTCCCTCTTCCCTCTCTTACCCCAGATAAGGGTGGGGCTGAAAGTCCCAACCCTTTAATCATGTTTTGGTCTTTTGAAGACTAGCCCCCATCCTCAAGTTATGTAGGGCCCCCCAGCCACCAATCATTTCATTAGTATACTAAAGACACTCTTATCACTCAGGAGATTCCAAGAGTAATTTTAGGAGCTTTTATGTCAGGAAACAGGAAGATCAAATATATATTTTACAATATCATACTCATTTTGGGCTTTCCATCCATAAAATGATGAGTTTGAGCTTGCTGATAGAGAGGAGCCTTTTTCAGCAAGCTCAAAAGAGAAAGAGGCTGCTTTGAGAGTCAGAGTCAAGCAGCAGTCTTTCTTTATCTCTCACTGTCCTTTAAATGTGAGAATACCTTTTAATATGAATCACAGCTGATCCCCACAACTCCTTTTTCTGTGTGTATATGGCATGTATTAGAGCAGTGGTTCTGTAAGTATAATCCTGGGACCAGCAGCATCAACATCACCTGGGAATTTGGAAATGCAAATTGTCTGGCCCTGCCTCAGACCTACTGAATCAGAAACTCTGGAGGTAGAGATCTTAGTTTTAATAAGCCCTCCAAATGCATGTGATGCATGTTGCAATTTGATAATTACTGCATTTGGGTATAATTTGTTGGCCTAAACCTCTGAGAGTCTATGTATAGGTTCACAATTCCCAAATTATTATGTATAGGCAAATAAATTATACTTTATATTTTAAAGCTACTACCTTTGACACTAATAAAAGATTTGGGATGTGTTAATGCTCATCATAGTGCAGGAGGTGAAATAACCCAGGACAGCCTTCAGGGGAAAATGAAAGTTAATAATTTCGATCAGAAAAAAAAGCCCCAAAGAATTCATTTTAAATGGAAAAATCTAAATGATACATGAATAATTCCACTTGGATTAATTTAAAGGGAGAATTCAAACTTGGCTGGCTTAACAGAAAAAAACACGAAGATTGGAATGCTGTATTTGTGCCAGTGCTGCTACTGTGAAAAGCTTTGAAAAATAATTAGAAAGCAACTACTGCTGGAGTTCATCTCTTTCTCCCTTACATAATAAAAACCTTAATCTCATGCTTATGCTTGTTCCTGTCAGCTCATAATTTTAACTATTTAAGCATAAAGTGCCAAAAAGGAGGATAAAATTGTGGGTTTCCAAAAGCCAGATGTTATAAATAGAAGAGATAAAAACTGAGATAAAATAGAAATGCTAAAAATGGTTTACTTTAATGGAAAGTTGATTCACAGATTAACTTTTTTCATTATTTATGAAAATATCCTTTTCTTATACTTTAACCTGGACTTTAATACAGTATTTTTATAGAAAGTACAATAGAAAATTGTACTTCTTAAGGGGAAAAAGAAATACCATTAGTTTTTATTTTATTTTGTTACATCCTAGTTAATTTCAATTTCTCTTAAATGGTTTTAATAGATAATGTACATACCAGCCCATAAAGAGTATGTGTGTATGTAAGTATAAGTGGTCAGTATATTCTTTTTAATTTGGAAAATTGACTTTTTTAATTAAATCATAGCTGTGTGCAACAATGAATCTTGGTGTACAGTGTGGTATTTTGATATGCAATTTGAGATATTTTCATCAAACTGGTTAACATAGCCTTCATGTCATTTTCTTAGTTGTTATGTCAAGACATCTGTATTCTACTTTTAGAAAGATTCACTTGTACACTTGTAAGATAAACCATAGAGGGCTCAGCGCCTATAGCTCAACCGGCTAAGGCGCCAGCCATGTACACCTAAGGTGGTGGGTTCAAATCCCCAGCCCGGACCCGCCAAACAACAATGACGGCTGCAACCAAAAAAAAAAAAAAATAGCCAGACGTTGTGGCGGGCGCCTGTGGTCCCAGCTACTTGGGAGGCAGAGGCAAGAGACTCGCTTCAGCCCAGGAGTTGGAGGTTGTTGTGAGCTGTAATGCCACGGTACTCTACCCAGGGGGACAGCTTGAGGCTCTGTCTCAAAAAAAAAAAAAAGGTAAACCATAGAGGTGATCTCTCCAATCACTCTCCCTCCACCCATTCACCTCCCTCCCCCCTCCCCATATTCTTAGGCTATAATTAGGTTATAGCTTTCATATGAAAGCTATAGAATTAGTTTCATAATAGGGCTGTGTACATTGGATACTTTTTCTTCCAATCTTGAGATACTTTGCTAAGAAGAACATTTTCCAGCTCCATCTGTGTAAACATGAAGGGTGTAAAGCCTCCATTTTACATAATATCCCATGGTGTACATATACCACAATTTATTGATCCATTTGTGGGTCGATGGGCATTTGAGCTTCTTCCATGACCTAGCAATTATGAATTGGGCTGCAGTAAACATTCTGATACAAATACCTTTGTTGTAATGTGATTTTTGGTCTTTTGGGTATATACCTAATAAAAGAATTGGAAAATTGACTTTTTTTTATGTAATTTCCTGATATCAAAACAGGTTAAAGTGTTAAATTGAGGGATTTTGGTTTGATAGAATAGTTACATTTTTTCTTTCTATTCATCTACATTTGAGTAGGTCTTCCCTTAGACATATGATACTATTTTAGTGTCTTTAAAAACTCATTTATTTTTAATTTCTTTGATAATATTGCCTTGGTAATTCTCTAGACATTTGATAAGAAGTCTTAGAAGAGGAGATTTTCTGTGGATATGAAAATAGCTCTGCCTTACATTGAACTAAAAATAAATCACACTGAAGAAACTGAAAATGTATGTGTTTTTGTTTTTTAGGTGGATTATGTATTTACAGATAAGACTGGAACACTCACTGAAAACAGCATGGAATTCATTGAATGCTGTATAGATGGACACAAATATAAAGGTGGAACTCAAGAAGTTGATGGATTATCTCAAACCGATGGACCTTTAACATATTTTGACAAAGCAGATAAGGTGGCATTTTCCATATTTCCTTTTTATCTGAGAAACTGATCTATGTATGCATGAGTTAAGCCTCCATAGTGGAAATAATGAAGTTTCTAGTAGGCATATAACATAGACTTTTGATAATCATTTGTTTATTCTTTTGGTTTCACCTTTTTTGTTTTATTAACAAATCTAGAATTTGTAAACTGGTAGAATTTATTTATAAGTAGAAAGAATTGTGGGAAATGATATTTGGGTAAAAGTTTTCCTGTCATTCATTGTGATCATATTTTTTGTGCTTTGCCTTTTCAAATATAAGCTCCTCTAAGAATGATGATTAAAATGTCCTAAGAGTTTCTAGATGAGCGGTTCTCAACCTGTGGGTCATGACCTCTTTGGGGGTCAAACGACCCTTTCACAGGGGTAACCTAAGACCATCCTGCATATCAGATATTTACATTATGAGTCATAACAGTAGCAAAGTTACAGTTATGAAGTAGCAATGAAAATAATTTTATGGGTGGGGGTCAACACAATATGAGGAACTGTATTAAAGGGTTGCGGCATTAGGAGGGTTGAGAACCACTGGTCTAGACATTGAATGAACCAAAGTCTCTCTACACCTGAGCTATTGCTGAATTTTGAGTTAGATCTTTAGAATGAGCTCTTTTAAACCATGAAGAAGTTACTGCTTTTGTTTAGGTGGCCCTATAATAATCTGGATGTGTTATCACAGCCTTTAGGGTACACTAGCTGAGAATGAGGAAGTCTGCTGGGTACTAGGAAGTTATATAGGTTATTTGAGTATTAGGAATGTATAGATTTATGTTACTCAATTTGCTAGATGATGTAACATTCTCGCACATTATTTGTTTCTCTGTTCATTGCCTAGTAAATGAGTAATCAAAGTAAAAAATAATAGTCATTCTTCTGTTGCTGTTCCACAGAATCGAGAAGAACTCTTTCTGCGTGCCTTGTGCTTATGTCATACAGTAGAAATTAAAACGAATGATGCTGTTGATGCAGCTACAGAATCAGCTGAATTAACTTATATCTCCTCTTCACCAGATGAAATAGCTTTGGTGAAAGGAGCTAAAAAGTAAGCACTTCTTGGTACTTCTGAGAAAGTAAAATCACAGGAGGACAGAAGTCATTTGGTTTTCCCTGTTGCTTCAGTAGCCTTATTGTGTACATCTCCTATTATTTAATTTTATAAAAGCTGCTTTAAACAGTTTGGAAAATTCCCAGATCTAACCAATTAAGACCAAAAAGAAAATACTGATGTATAGATACAACTTGTATTACTATTTATGCTTGCCTGCCAGAATCCTGAATGTTCATGTTGTATTTTGCAAATCACACAACAGTGGACACTTTGGTATAACATATGTTATTTCTGAAGTGCCCCCAGTAATTTTGGTGTCATTTGATAACTGACAGTCCAGTTTTACTTCTGAGGCCCATGGATGATTAAGTAGCTAAAAGGTCACCCAGTGTATTAGCTGGAGAATTGGAATTACAAATTCCCTCACCCTTGGTTACAATAATTATAGCTGAGCATTGACTTGCTCTGTTATCAACTTATCCAGGAAAGGGAAGTGCTGTAATAGGTTAAGATTATATGAAAGAAAAAAAAAAGAATAAACATCATGAGTAGCCCCAATGCAAGGGAAAATTAACCATTCTTTAGAGAGTCTCTACACAAAGGTCTTTGTTATTGTTTTCCATAGGTACGGGTTCACATTTTTAGGAAATCAGAATGGACAAATGAGAGTAGAGAACCAAAGAAAAGAAATAGAAGAGTAAGTAGCTCTGTGTTTGATGTTTGTGAGTCACTTCCTAACCTGCAGTCAACTTTAAATGGATTCAGGCAAGGTAGGGAAGAAAATTGATGCCCCTATAAATACAGGATTCTGCTCTAACAGTTCAGAGTTTTATGTAAATTTAGTTGGAATAGAATCCATTTTTCACAGAATGGCAGAAACTGGGGTTGATGGTGGAAATTCCTATTTGGTTCACATATGTGTCTAGTAGTAGGAATGAGTATCTGCCTGAACTGTTTCTGAAATCTAGATATCATTTCTTATATATGCTGCAAGAAAAATCAATGAACATACATGAAATCTTCTACTATTCGGAACCCTAGCAATCACTCTGGGATTATAAGCACATCCCGTAATTATAAGCATAACACCATAAAAGCTTTGGTGTTAACCAGAAGCTTTCTCTTGTTCTAGATGTTCATGTGTGAGCCTCAGGGCAAGTACTCTTGATGGAGCACTGTCTCTACCTTTCCTCTTTTGCTACAAAGATCCCAGTGAACAAACCTATCTTGGCTTAATGACAGTTTTTAATTAGGCTCTGTGATTAATTTAAATTTCTTCATCTGAACTTGAAATGTAATTATCCATTCTGGCCTGTAGGGTTTCCTGAGACCCATCTCAGAAACTTATAATACATGTAGAGGTGCTTTGAGTAATGTGCTTCCCTGGGGAAGAATGATCAAAAGCCTAGAGGAAGAGGATCTGACTGCCAAGGACCCAGGGTCATTGTCAGAGTTCAGATCCTAACCACTCCACAATGGTGCCCCCATCTGGCCAACACCAAAGGAGATGCCACATGTAGATGTCTTACATACACACATTCCCCCAAACCATTGAACCCCTCGCTCCCACCCAAACCAAGCTATATATAGTAAACATTTTTATGTTAAATACATGTATCCAAGTTGTTTATTTTGAAGAAAATATTCCCTTACACTCTTACTAAAAATTAACTCTTAACTCTTCTGTATCCCTTATCTGACTAATGGTTCAGCCATCAACACACAAATCTGATCAATTTCATCATGCTATTCCACAGTATAAACATTTCATTGGCTTTCTGTTATTCTTAGGATAAAATCCCAAAGGGCCTACAGAGTTCTCAAGTTTCCAACCCCTGCTTACCTTTCTTCATCTCTTGCTGTTGTCTTATCAGTGAGTTTCTCTGGCCTTGGAGGTACTACTTACAGTCCCCTACTAGCCATGTTCTCTCATCCTGCTGTGCCTTTGCACATACTCTTTTGCCTACTCAGAGTGCCATGGTCCTCCTTTTTGTCATATTACTTTTGTAGAACCCAGCTCAGGCACAACCTCTTGTAGGAAGCCAACCTTCAGATGGCTTCCTTCTGTGCTCTCACATCTCCCCTGTGAGTACCTTTATTATAGTAACCAATAGACTGGGAAGGTAGTTATTACCCTCAGTTTCCCTTATCATATGGCGAGCTCCTTGGGGGAAGGGACTGTGGCAGATCCACCTGTATTTCCCAGCACCTAGCACATAGTAGGCACTCCATAGATGTTAGTAAAATAACTGGCAGAGTTCTAGACCCCTTGATACAGGTTATTAGGATAGCTCTTTGTCCTCTATTCCTACGTAGTCGTTCTCCTTACATTTTAAGTAATAGAGTGGGAGGTATAAATACCCTTCAGTCAACACTGGTGTTCTTTGACAACATGTTCTACACAGAGAAATTTCAAGACAAGGAAAAGTACCAGTTGTACATACAACCAGTGATCCTGACCCAAAGAAGAGAGCTGTCTGTTCATCTAAAATGTTTATGTATCTTAGATGTTTCTATTGTTGTTTTTATTTTTCTCAGTGTGGTCTAGGTATTATGCTTTTTTCATTTCTCTTTTCTTAAAGGTATGAACTTCTTCACACCTTAAACTTTGATTCCGTCCGCCGACGCATGAGTGTAATTGTGAAGACTCAAGAAGGTACACATCTTAAAAACTTGACTTTTTCCATTGTAGGCCTATATGTCAATCAACTATTTTAGGAAAAAGAAACATTTCATATAGTAGCTTAGGATTAGCTGAAGTCATTCAAAGCAGTAGCATTCATACATGTCTTCATGTATGTATTTAAGGACATACTTTCTTTTTTTTTTTTTTTTTTTTT